TCCTTCAGATTTTAGCCTCTCTTTACTACTAACCACTAAGCTAAGTACTCTGCTCATAGACTATCAGCAAAGCCTCTTCTCTCCTTGGACAGCGTTCTCTCTTTAGAGATAGAGTAGAAACCCAAATGGCCTCAATATCTCTGCCCCACACTAGATACTTTCTCTTAGATCTTTGAGTAGAGGGTCATTAACTAAACTGACAGAAGCTATGCATACCTAAGGAGCGGCATCAACACGGGCCTCGTCCAGTAACACAGTCAGACCATTGAGAACTCATTGGTCCTTGTCTTGGGGACCTTCGGGAGTGGCCAGAGTAATTTCATTTGGGAGAGACAGGGAAGCAGGAGTTTGCCTGGCAGAGAGGCGTTTGATTGTCGGCGGTCCAGGACGGAAACACATTTGCTGTAAGAGAATGTGGCACATTAAGGAAATAGCCCAGTGGCCTGATCTTTGCCCTTGATTGCCTTTGCGCCACCATGGGAGAGCGGTCTGTAGACATGGCAGGGTGACAGGCCTTGTGGAGCCAATTTATGAGTTCATCGCAGGCAAGTGTCTTCGAAGCGATGTGTCAGCTCTAATGTCCAGGGACTTAGTGATAATATCTCGCTACAGAGCATTGTATAGTCCACAGAATGCTTAAATATACCAACATATGAATCCATGTGATGGGTGAGCAGCCTGCCTTCCAGGACAGAACCTATGAAATTATTACCTGTACACACACTTAAAATCAATTTGTGTAGATTGTTTACTGTTAAATTACTCAGAAATGTTATCATAGAACCTTCCATTTTAATTTGATGAAACATGGGCACACAATATGGCCACATGAATTAGGAAAAGTTAGTTCATTAAGGGGAATGTAGGCAGCACCCAGGAGGATTCCCTCCCATTTCTTACCTCAGGAAACGCCCTGTAAACCAATGGGACCCCTTAAAATTGTGAAGAAAATGATGGCTCCCTTCTTCATAAGAGTTCCAGTACGCATGTGAATTTTGCGTAGCATTTCAGAGAACTCACAGGCCTGCTGCTTTGCCACGGGCCTCCCATCTCAGAGCTGGTGAGGTAGCAATGACCACTTTAGGAGTTTCACATGTGTACTGTACTCCCAGATGTAATGAGTGCCCAGAATAAAAGATAGGTAGTAACAAGTAGGATGTTTCAGGGCTCCCTCCTCCTGCTGATGTGTCTAGATGTATTTTTAATTTGACAGTGAAGACTTGATATTCAGTCCTTCAAAGAATTGAGAAAAGCACCCTGAAGTCAGATACAAAAAATATTTTTTCCCTTCCCGTTTTGACAAATGGCTCCTTCGTAATTGGTGAATACAAGGGAGATAAGCAAGCAAGCAAAAACCCAACCTTGTTGAAAGCCCTTTTAAAATTGATTTGAATACATGAAAACAGTCCCAAGTTTTGGGCATGTGAGAGGAAAATTTTGGATCAGAACCCACTAAACTCTAAGTAGTACTGCTCAAAACCAAACCAAACCAAACCAAAATAGCCAACCAACTTAAAGTATCCACCATGGAAGACCAAAATGGAAATCTCATTTCCTCTCAGCAATGGGCCTCACTTTGTATTACCGGGGACAATGGAAACAGGAGCCAGAAGTCCTGGTTTATTTTGAGAATTCTGTAAAACAGTTGTTCCCCATTAGCTGATTGTGTTTCTCAGTGCTGGGGAAGTCCTGGGTCTACATCTGTGTTCTGACCTCCTGCTTCACTGTGTGTTCTCCTAGCCCCCAGGGACTGCAGTCTTCCTGGCTGTTACCATATATATATATATATATATATATATGTTCTTATTCCAGTCTGATCCTCTCTTATCCCTAAAATAATCAGCATGAGCAGAATGAAGCAGATGGCGCAAGCCTTCTTTGGCACACTAGCGGATCTGTATCACTCCCTTAGTATTTTTAGAATCAGGGGGACTGAAACTTAAGTCCTGAGATGTTTCGGGGGGAAGGCTTACTATCTTTCCAGGGTGACAGGTGTTGAAATAGCTGTATGTTTAAGATTCGAAGAAGATCTGTGTGTCAAGACACAGAACAGACTGACTCTCTTGGGGGACCATAGTCCTTCAGTTTTGTTGTAGTTGTTGATGGTTTGCTGGATAGTAGATGGTCTATTTTAAGTACATCAGGTTTTAACTGAAGCATAGAATCATCAGTATACAGCTAGTCTGATTAGGTGAGAGGTGACTGAGAGATGGTGTATATATCTACATTGTTAGCTTTTTTTTTTTCTAGCAGGTAAGGTTTGAACCTCAGTCATGAAGAATTTATTGTCTGTTGTGAAAAGATTTTTGCAGAAGTTTGTGATTATGTCCTGAAAACAGTGTCCTCAGTCCCCATGTATGTATAGTATGCAAAGATGTTGAGTGTACTAACAATACTATGAAACTGAGCATCTCTAAAGAATTAAAAGAGTGGTCACTGTGGTGTGCTTTATTAGCTCAGCATTTGAAAATGAGTTTCGCCTTTTGCATTAGGCTGGGTATGTTTAACACTACCTAAACATCAGCAAGATGAAGGTTTAGGGAACGATGTTCTTGAAGGAGGGGGCAGCCTTTGTTTTGTGAGGAACTATTCCGTTTGGGGAACTTGAAGTTAGAGAAATCTACTTCACTCTTAAGTAAAACATAACTACATCTAACCATCTCTGATCGTGAACTGGGGAACCTCATCCCCCGCTCTATGTTAATCAAATAGTTGTTCTAAATCCCTCTTGTGTTTCTGCAAAACACCTGAGGGTTAATCAGTGGTATAGTCATGTGCAAGGAAAACCCAGACTTTCTCCCATCTCTGGACAGGGAATCTAAGAGTACGCCCGCGTCACCCCTACAGTAGCCACTAGCTGCCTGTGGGTGTCTAACACGGCAAATGCAGTTCCCGAGCAGCGTGTTTGTAGCGTGTGGTTGTCACTGTTTGTATCATACTTCCATCATAGGAAGTTATGTTGGGCCCCCTGTTCCTCTCCTAAAGCAAGAGCTGGGGAGAATGAATTCCCCTAGATAAACTGAAAACAGCCTATGTACCTGGATTTGTCTAGTAGGTGAGGGGAAGACGGAGCCCTCCGCGCCAGCTCCTCCAAAGCGATGAGTGCTCTGTGCTATTTTAGCCATGAAGGGGGGAGGGGAGGAGCAGTTCACGCTTTACAATCCATGTGTGTTTTAGTCTCTTAAAAAACAAGACCTGGAAAGTACATCAAGCAATTTCAACTGAATGAATGCATTTTTTTTAGCTGGCCCTGTACTATGGCTTTTCACACACACAGTGGAATTTCTTAGAAGAATCAATCTGTGGTTAGGACTGTTGGAGATGACTCAAGGAAGGGCTTTGAGCGTGAATAGAATTAAACAGGAATGAGGGGTGGGAACAAGAGGGCTTTGGGTGGAGCTCGGGCCGGGACCCAGTTAAAGTTACTCTTTTTTTTTTGGTTTTCCAAGACAGGGTTTCTCTGTGTAATGGTCCTGGCTGTCCTGGAACTCTCTTTGTAGACCAGGCTAGCCTTGAACTCACTGAGGTCCACCTAAGGGCGTGTTTGCATGTTACCTAGGTTTTTGATTTGGAGGTACCTTAAAAGGGAAGTAGACATTAATCTTTAACAATAAATGGCAACTCTAAAGACTTAGAGCAGTAACTGAAAGGCTACAGGCAACTGAGCTTTAAAGTCTTGCCCTAAGGGTCAGCTGTGCAGAAAAGCTACTCACATGTATTCAACATAAGCCTAACGTACAGGTTGTATAGCCCTTATCAGAAACACTTGGAAGAGTGGATTTTCAGTGCACAGAGTCGTTTGACTTTTGGAAAAGTGTGTATAACATAATGAGATCTCCTGTGGGTGGGACTCAAGCCTCAGCATGGGGTTTAGTCATGTTTCGCTTTCATACCCACCTTCTACAATAGCTTGAGGCAGTTTTATGATTGCTTTCAAGTTATTGGTATCTTGACTGCGACTTACCATGTAGAGGAAATTCTCCTCCCGGACTCGCAGAAACTGACACTCAGAAATGTTCCAAGTAGAAATGTGGGGACAGTGCCGTTTTTCAGGTTCGGGATCTTCAACCTGAACCCTAAACATTTAAAAGTATTGACCCACAGAAAGTTAGCAGCCCCTACCTGAAAATGACTCGGCTGCACAGTGGAATTACAGTGCTCTGTTCTGTGGCTTACAGTGCTGCCTTAGACACTCATGGTCGGAAAAGGAGATCCAGGGTTTCTGGGGTGCTGACTGGGCTGAAGTGTGATAAGGATCTGGGTTAGGGACAAGACAAGCTGAAGGGGGCAGAACACCCGTTGGCTATCATTGGCTAATCCGCAGGTAACTGGGGAGTGTGCAGTGGCTCTCTAGAGTGCTGGCCCCAGCTCTCCTTAGAGTCCTCAGTCTTGTTCCCACAGGAACATTGTCTCTCTCTTCCCCACTTCAGGGCAGCGAGGCTCTTGCCCCATACTTGGTGTGTGTCAGGCCTGGGGCATAGTGAGCCCACAAACAAATTCACTGAGATGTATACAAATGATTTCTTCTCATCCCCTGAGAGTTTAAACAGGTGTTGTCAACAGCTTCTCTTATGCTAACAGGGCATGAAGAGGAAAGAGCTTAGTGGTTTGAATAAAGGGTGGCCATTGTGAGCCAGTAACACAGGTCGATACAAAGAGCGAGGCTTCTGGTTTTTTTTGTTTTGTTTTGTTTTGTTTTTTTCCCCTGCCGAATCAGTTCACTGAGTCTCACACTGAGCTAAAACCATTGATGACCTTGAGTCTATGAAAATAGCAGTTCTTATTAGGAGGGAGAATGGTTCGCCAGCCGTCAGAATACAGGGGCTCCAGAATGGCAGATGAAGGATTGCGGGAAGCGAGAAGGGAGGACGGACGGGGAGCTGGGCCCATTTGAGCCATTTTAAAGACGCATACCAATTGTGGGTCATTGGCTCCAAAGTGGTGGTGGGTACAGTTTTCCAATGGCCGGTGTGAGAAAACTGTTCCTCTTATCTCCACAGACGGCCATTCAGGACGCGGAGCTATTGTGATGAAAATCTCCTTCCTGCCCTGCACCTCTCCTGTGCCTCACGGCTCTCTCTGCTTGGTTGCAGTGCCGCCTCTACCCTTTCCCGGAGTCCAGCTGTAGCGGGCCCCTCCCTTCTTTCTGCCCGTGCTTTAGATGGCACAGCATTTGCTCAGCACATCTGAAAAAGAAGGTGTGAGAAGCAAAGGCCATGGCTCCATTCCGCTGTCAGTCATGTGGCAAGTCCTTCCTCACCCTGGAGAAGTTCACCGTCCACAGTTATTCGCACACCAGGGAGCGACCATTCAAGTGCACACAGGCTGAGTGTGGCAAAGCCTTCGTCTCTAAATATAAATTAATGAGGTGAGAGGCTTTCTGAAGGCGCGCGGTTCGACCCGGACCTCTAAGTGTCTCTTCAGGCCTTCAGGGCTCTCACCGAAGGAGCGGAAAAGGCAGGGTGTGGGTGCATTTCAGCCTTTTAGGGACTCTTTAAAGCCATATCCCCAGTGATTGCCATGACACCCGGGTAGCCAGACCTTGCACATGTGCCCTTTTAGGCTTTCAGAGGATCCACGGTACACCAAGCCAGTGATTTTCAGATGAGTCCTTTCGAAGAGAGTTGGCATATAATTATGAATTATTTCCTCTAGTGACAACTAGGTACTCTGTACTATGAGGTAAGTGGTACCCAAGGTATATATTCTGCCCGCAATGGATTTTGGTAATGCCACAGGAAAGACAAGCTATGCAATCAGACCATAGTGTGACTGACTGCAGCCAATGCTGTCTGTTTACTTCTCTCCGTATTGCTGGTCTCTGGTCTCCTAGACATGATCCTTCAAGCTTCAAGTTGCTGACGACTCACATATAAATGCAAAGGTGAGAGAATTAGCAACCTGGCTTCCAATCTGAGTGGCAGCAGCAATTCCGCCGTGGAGTACTCTGGAGGAAGGCACTTGAAAGCGGGGAAGGGAAAGATATAAATTATGCTCCTGACCTTAAGAACATCGCTATTACTGATAATGCAATTTGAGCTGATGTTTAAAATAAGACTGGAAATGCTTCTGTCTTTTAAAATCCAACCCTCTCCTGTTGGAGGCCCTTCTCTAGTTGTCATAGCAACTGTATCAAGTGGCTACCATGTGCACCGATTTTGTGTCAAGGGCTCCTTGTTTAGCATCACACTCATTTTGCATACGTGTAGGCACCCTTACTCCAACACAGAGGGTAGCTCTGGCTTCACTGGGACCACCCCAGGGGTCTATGAGAGACCTGGAGAGGAGAAAAGACAGTAGGGCAGATTATTCCAATAAATAGAATTAGTTAGGAATACCGTGGTAAGAGGAACTGGTGCCTTATGCATGGCCAGAGAGGTGGTTCAGGAGAAATGTCTTGCTCCATCAAGGTGGAAAGTGGGCCAAAGCAGAAAATAGTGTTTATTATCCATTGTCCCTGCTTCAGATCCTCTGGCCTCTCTGGCCAGAGTCCATGCTCTTTTAGGGAACTGGAAAGTGGTGAGAGAACAGGGTGCGTAGGTTTGTCTTAAAGGTGATAGGGCAGCATTCCATCCAGTCCCCATCCATCGCAACCCATTTTATAAGCAGAGACTGAAGAAAGAGAACTGACCGCGTAACCAGAAAGAGACAGCGGTGGGTCCCGGCACCGTAAACAGCTAGCCACTAGAAGAAACAGCCGAGGGCTAGAGAAGCTGATTGGCAGGGCAGGCTGACCTCTAAGGAGGTCTTAGTGTGAACGAGCTTTTCGAAGACCTCTAAGTCTTGGCATGATCTACCTGCTGTGCAAAGGGGGCATGTCTGTGCTGACTACAGGACATACCAACATGTGCGGTTCATGCATTGTTAATGCGAGCAGTCAAATGAAGGCCCACCATGGTATATGTATCAGTAATAGTGACCCGAAGGACAGGGATGGAACTAACTTCTCTTAGCACTGTACATAGTAGGGCTGCTTTTTTTTTTAAGAGGAAGAGTGAGGAGGAAAGCATGGTGGTTTGCTTATTTGAAAGAAAATTACAGTTTAACTCAAATCAGCAACACGGTTTTTGAACTGGCATCCAGTCTTCTTTATTGGGGCCATTAAACTGTTTGCTGTGAATCTGGGATGGGCCAGACAAAATAGACCATTGGATGAAATGTATAATTATTTATATACTAGACAAATGGATTGACTTAATGAGATTACAAAAAATAGAGTAAGTCTATGGAATTCTCTTGTATCCAAAGGCCCTGGTTCAAGGGTTACAATTGGATTGAAATTGTGATGAAGACAATCCAAGAATGAGGAGCTAAAGGGCCACTGTCACCAGGGATATGACGTGTCCTGCGCACGACCTGTGAGCTACACATCCTCACAAAAAGTCATGTTGTAAAGGAAGTACTAGCAGAGTATTTGGGTTTTTAGTTACTAAAGTGAACTTTCCCAAGTTTGAGGACAGCAGCTTTTGAAAACGTGGAGGTTGATTGGATACTTTCTCTGAGATTAGGTATAAAATTTTTAAAAAGGCTCTCAAGAACCTTACCCCTGACCTAAACTTTTAATCTCAATCAAGAGAGGAAGGAGAGCTGTGCACAAAGCAATGTTAGTAATTCTTTTCTTTTTAAATGATAAAATATCAGCGTTTAGAAAATACTGCAAAGTAGTTTATAAGTTAAAATGTCACTAAGACCTTGAAAAAATAGCTAGTCACATCTTGACAGTGCTGTCTCCTTGTCTTCATTCATAAAACGATTCTATTGTAAACTATTCCCCACCCCACCCCCTTTTCTGTTTCCAGACACATGGCCACACACTCACCCCAGAAGCTCCACCAGTGCACCCACTGCGAGAAGACCTTCAACCGGAAGGACCACCTGAAGAATCATCTCCAGACCCACGACCCCAACAAGATCGCCTACGTCTGTGAGGATTGTGGCAAGAAGTACCACACCATGCTGGGCTACAAGAGGCACCTGGCCCTGCATTCCGCCAGCAGCGGAGATCTCACCTGTGGCGTCTGCGCTCTCGAGCTGGGGAGCACCGAGGTCCTGCTGGTCCACCTCAAGTCTCACGCGGAAGAGAAAGCCCACCATGCGACCCGGGAGAAGAAGCACCAGTGCGACCATTGTGAGAGATGCTTCTACACCCGCAAGGATGTGCGTCGCCACCTGGTGGTCCACACAGGATGCAAGGACTTCCTGTGTCAGTTTTGCGCCCAGCGCTTTGGGCGCAAAGATCACCTCACTCGTCACACCAAGAAAACACACTCACAGGAGCTGATGCAAGAGAGTATGCAGGCAGGAGAGTACATGAGCACCCTTAATACCATTGCGCCGTCCTTCCAGCTGAAGGCTCCTGCCATGCCTCCTTTCCAGTTAGGAGTGCCCCCCCAGAACGGGCTTGCAGGTGGCTTGCCACCCGAGATTCATGGCCTAGTGCTTGCTCCCCCAGAACAGGTCACCCAGCCTCTGCAGCCAATGCCAGAGCAGCTTATTACTCTGCACCCTGGGGTAGTTCCCGCCTCTCCTCCTCACACCCTTCAGGAGCCTAAGTACAGTCCTCCTTCTACCTCATTTGCCCCACTTGGAGGCCTGCCGCTTAAAGCAGAGGCCAAAAGCTTTGGCAACATGGGTTACTTTGAGGAATTGCCTATGCAAGAGCCTCAGTCGCCACTCAAACTCAGCCCATGTTTTGAGATGGCTAAGGAGGGCATTGGGAAAGTCACCCTGCCCAAAGAGCTGCTAGTTGATGCTGTGAACATAGCGATTCCTGCCTCTCTGGAGATTTCCTCCCTGTTGGGGTTTTGGCAGATCCCCCCACCTCCCCCCCAGAATGGTTTTGTGAATAACACCATCCCTGTCGGGCCGGGGGAACCACTGCCCCATACAATCACTTGTCTGGCGCAGCAGCAGTCACCATCGCTGCCGCCTCCACCACCGCCGCTGCCACCGCAGCCGCAGATACAGCTGCAGCCACAACTGCAGCCACAGCTGCAGCCACTGCAGCTGCAGCCACAGCCAATGCAGCTACAGCCACAGCCAATGCAGCTGCAGCCACAGCCAATGCAGCTGCAGCC